AAGAAAGAAGACCAGTTAATATATCTATTGTTCAAATTTACACAGCATCCACAATGCCAAAGATGAAGAAATTGAAGCTTTTTACCAACTTCAGTCTGAAATTGATCAAACATGCAATCAAATGCATTGGTTATTAATTACTGATGATTAGAATACAAAAGTTGGAAACAAAGCAGCAGTAGTTGGAGAATATGGCCTTGGTAATAGAAATGATGCTGGAGATTTCATGACAGAATTTTGCGAGACCTTTGATTTCACTGCAGATACCTTTTTACAACAGCATAAATGGCAGCTATACACGTGCTTCACCAAATGGAATAAATGGAAATCAACTATATCTGTGGAAAAAGATGATGGAGAAGCACAATACCATCAGTCAGAACAAGTCCAGGGCCAACAATGGAACAGACCATCAAGTTGCTCCTGTGGAAGTTCAAGTTGAAGCTGAAGAAAATTAAGTACACAAGAGCCAAAGTACTGAATTCAGAGAACATCTCAAGAATAAAATTGACTGGCTTCTGGAAGCTGAAATAGATAAAAAGGATTATCCTCCACCCCAGTCATGCCCTGAATTCAGACTTCTAGTCTCCAGAAGTGTGAGAAAATGAACTTCTGTTCTTTAAAGTAAAAAATTTAGAAAACAGCTACCCGCCCAACTGATTGGAAGAGAGCCATTCCAAAGAAAGGTGATCCCACAGAATGTGAAATTATTGAAGAATATCATATGCAAGTAAAATCTTGCTGAAGATAATTAAAAAATGGTTGCACAGTATATTGACAGAGAACTTCCAGAAATGCAAGCTGGATTCAGAAGAGGATGTGGAATAAGGGATGTCAGGTGGATCTTAGCTGAAAGTAAAGGATACCAAGAAGATGTTTACTTGTGTTTTATTGAGTATGCAAAAGTATTCAACTGTGCCAAAAAAAAAAAAACACACCTCACTGCCATCAAGTCAAATACAACTCATAGTGACCCCTCCTTGGGTTTCTGAGGCAGTACCTTGATGCAACGATGGGTTCAGGCATAGCAGGGATCGTGAGGCTGGCACAGGACCAGGCAGTGTTTTGTTCTGTTGTACATAGGTCGCTGTGAGTTGGAGACAACTCAACAGCACCTAACAACATCTAACGACAAAGTCAAAAAGTGAGAAGAAAAGAAAGAACTGACACATTGAAGTGTAATGACTGAAGAATAGGCAAGTTATGAAAGGACTTCAAGAGCATCATCCGTGAAGAACGCAAAAGGTCATTAAAAAGACAAGAAAGGAAGAAAAGACCAAAATGGATGTTAGAAGAGACTCTGAAACTTGCTCGTGAATACAGAATAGCTAAAGTGAAAGGAAGAAATTATGAAATAAAAGAGCTAAATGGAAAATTTCAAAGGGCAGCTCAAGCAGATAAAGTATTATAATGAAAAGTACAAAGACTTGGAGTTAGAAAACCAAAAGAGAAGAACACGCTCTTCATTTCTCAAGCTTAAAGAACTAAAGAAACACATCAAGCTTCGAGTTGCAATACTGAAGGATTCTATGGGCAAAATATTGAACAACACAGGAAGCATTAAAAGAAGATGGAAGGAATACACAGAGTCACTGTACCAAAAAGAATTGGTCAGTGTTCAACCACTTCAGGCGGTAGCATATAATCAAGAACCAATGGTATTGAAGGAAGTAAGTCTAAACTCACTGAAGGAACTGGCAGGAAAAAAAAAAAAAAAGCCTCCAGAAACTGACAGAACACCAACTGAAAGTTTCAGCAAATGGATGTAGCGCTGGAGGTACTCACTGGGCTATGCCAAGAAATTTGGAAGACAGTTACCTGTCCAACTGACTGGAAGAGATCCATATTTGTGCCTATTCCAAAGAAAGGTGATCCCACAGAATGTGGAAATTATCAAACAATAACATTAACATGACAGAAGTAAAATTTTGCTGAAGATAATTCAAAAAACGTTTACAGCTGTACATCAACAGGTAACTGCTAGAAATTGAAGCTGGATTCAGAAGAGGATATGAAACTAGGGATATCCTTGCTGATATCAAATGGATCTTGGCTGAAAGCAGAGAATACCAGAAAGATGTTTACCTGTGTTTTGACTATACAAAAGCATTCAACTGTACAGATCATAACAAATTATGGATAACATTGGGAAGGATGGGAATTCCAGAACACTTCATTGTGCTCATGCAGAACCTGTACGTAGACCAAAAGGCAGTTGTTTGCACAGAACAAGGGGCTACTGCACGGTTTAATATTAGGAAAGGTAAGTATCAGGGTTGTATCCTTTCTTAGTCAATCTGTATAAAGAACAAATGTGAGAAGTTGGACTATATGAAGAACAGTGCAGCAGGCAGATAACACAATCTTGCTTGCTGAATGCAAAAAAAAAAAAAAAAAACTGGAAGCACTTATTGATGAAGATCAAAGACTACAGCCTTCTGTATGGATTATACCTCAACATAAAACAAAAATCCTCACAACTGGACCAATAAACAATGTCGATAACCAAAGAAAAGATTGAAGTTGTCAAGGATTTCATTTTGCTTGGATCCACAATCATTGCCCATGGAAGCAGCAGTCAAGAAATTGCATTGGGCAAATCTGCTACAGAAGGTCTCGTGTTTTTTTTTTAAAAAAAGTTTTAAAAGAGCAAAGATGTCACTTTGAAGATTAAGGTGCACCTGACCCAAACCAAAAAAAAAAACTCACTGCCATTGAGTCAGAGCCAACTCACAGTGACCCCTCCTTGGGTTTCCAAGGCAGTATCACTACAGAAGTAGATTGTCCAACCTTTCTTCCCAGGAGTGGCTGGTGGGTTTAGAACCACCAGCCTTCTGATTAGCAGTCAGATGCCTTAAGCTACCAGAGCTCCCAAGCCATGGTATTTTCATTCACTTCACATGCATGCAAAAGCTAGACAAGGAATAAGGAAAACTGAAGAATCCGATGCCTTTCGTGATGAATAAGGAAGATCACAGAAGAAATGATGCATCTGAATTGTGATGTTGGCAAAGAATGTGAAACATACCATGGATTGCCAGAAGAGTGAACAAATCTGTTTGGAAGAAGTACAGCCAAAATGTTTCTTAGAAGCAAGGATGGCAAGACTTCCTCTCATGTACTTTGGACATGTTATCAGGAGGGATGTCATGCTTGGTGTCATGGGTCAGTGAAGGAGATGAAGGCCCTCAGTGAGATGGATTGACACAGTAGCTGCAACAGTGGGCCCAAACCTAGCAGAGATTGTGAGGCTGGCACAGTTCTGGGCAGTGTTGCGTTGTGTTGCACACAAGGTCACTATGAGTCAGAACCAACTCGACAGCACCTGGCGAAAACAACAACAAAGTTCTTTTTTTTGCAAGTTACGTATTTGGTATCCTGTGACCAGTGCTACTCTGGTATAGCCGGGGCAGCATTTTAACACACAAGGAAGCTATAAAAGGCCTACCCTCATTCAGCAGTCTCTAGTCAACCTTCCTCATCCTCTCCTACCCAGCTACCCAACAGCCTAGAAATGGGTTGGTCATCCAGCATCCAAGCTTTGAAGGAGAGGTTGCTAAGAGGTTTCTAGTTCTGAGAAAATGAGAAATATTTTTCTCATAGCTTTTCTGCTCTGACAGTGCTAAGTGCAAAAGAGGGTCTTGGATCAGGATTGTTTGTTTCGTTTTCCTAATGAGAAACAAAAACCCTTGACTTCGTTCATTATCAGACATGGGCCATATGGCTTCTGATCTAGCCTCTCTGCCCTCTCCAAGAATTCAAGCAACACGTATATTAATGTATTGGCCCAGGCCCTGGCAGATGCTCAGAGTGTTTGCTAAATACACCAATGTTGGGAGACTGGGAAAGTTGCCTGTGGTTTTTACCTTGTAGAAATTGTATTCATGTGTTTGGAGAGTCACATTTTCAGAGAGGAGTATTTTTACTGTGACAGAGTTTTCCCTCCAGGGAAAACTGTGAGTTAAAGTGCTAGCATTAGGTTGTTAATAGTAAAACTTGGTTGTGGTCAGTGAAGTTTAGTTTTTAATACACAGACCAAGAGGATGCAAACTCCCGATGCTTTTAGGGGCTCACAAGTTAATAGAAAGGTTTAAAGCAGCCTCTACTCAGCTCCAGCTGATTGTTGTCTACTGGGAATGTGGGCTCAGTGCTGCCAGTTTTTTCTTTTTTTTAAAATACGAGGCCAGAAACAAGATTTCATTTGTGAAATCTCCCCAGTTTTAAATGTTGACAACTTACTCTAAAAATTTTTAAATATCATGCTGTCTAAATAAAACATCCATGGGCCATATGGCTTCTGATCTAGCCTCTCTGCCCTCTCCAAGAATTCAAGCAACACGTATTTTCTTTTTTAAATAGATGTTGCATGATCTTGTATGTATGTTTTATTAAATCTCTCTTCTCCTTTAACTGAAAAATCTAACATATACAGCAGCCAAAAACAATTCTTTTTCTAAGAAAAATGCTGTCAGTATATATAAATGTACCTCACAGTGAAGTAGAGAAGAATGATTTTGACATTTCATAAATTATCCCCAGTGATCTCAGGCTGGCAGATAGCAAGGATGCAGAATGACAGCCTCTACCCACCTCCCTCCGCGTCTGGCTTTGGCACAGAAAGGGCCACCCAGGCCTCAGCAGTCTCCATTTCCTAGTGGTAGAGAGATTGATTTTTCTACAGAGGGTCTCAAATGAAAATTGTCACTAAAAAGATGTATCTGATTTTTCATTTGGAAAGTTACAAAGGATGTGAAGATGCAGTGTGAGAAGGAAGGAAGGTAGCAGGTGCCTGTGTTCCACCTCTGCCTATCCCTCAGGACTTTCCTGGACAGTCCCCAGTTCTCTGAAGGGGTCTTTCCAGCCCCTGTCCCTGCCTCTCCCAGAAGCTGAGACTTTTCTGAAGTTTGAGAAACAATTTGGCCTTTCACATCATATAAAGAGTCCTTCCAGATCAGCATGGGTTAAAACAAAGATTTTTGCAGATGGTTGGTGGTTATTTTTTGTTTTGTTTTTTTTATCCAACTATGATCCCATCAATGTATCTCTAAGGAAAATGTAAATTATCCATACATTCTCTTAAACATCACAGTGGAAAAAAAAAAAAAAAAAAAAGTACCCGTATGTGTGAAAGGGCAGGCAGAGGGCCCCACCTGCTCTGTCCTTGGCAAAGGCCCTTGGCCATACTAGGGAAAATGCCAGCTTTGCTTCCACATTGATACCCATGTCCTGCCATCCCACTGGAGCACCAGTGGCCCCCAAGGGCAGACAGGGAGAGGGATCTTTTTGAAATGTTTCTAGGAGCTCTGTCCAGCTGTCTTTCCTCATCTTCCAGCCCAGGGGTGCTGTATAAAGCTATAAAGACACTGACGAAATCATGGTTCTGCTGCCATTTTCAAGGGAAGACTTGGCTTGGAGCATGGCTGCCTGGATTCGAAAATGTGTCCTTGACTCCATGGAGTAATTCTTGTAGTTTTGCCTAGAAGAAACCAGAGAATCAGACAAATACAGCTGCTCCAAGAAGTCCTCCTCCTTCAGTCTGAGCTGTGGGAACCCACCAGCCAAGGAAGGTTCTTAAAGGTTTAAACTCCTGCCGTATCCAAAGTAAGGGCTGGGACTTCCCGATGGGAGGACTAACAGAAAGTGTGTGGGCCCTTGTCCCTGAGAGCATGCTCTCTGGACACACTCTTGGTTCTGTTGAGTCTTCAAGCTTGAGGGGGTGGTTTGGGGAGGTAGGCCCCTGGGCTAGAAAGCAGGAGACCTTTATCCTAGCACCAGCCCTGCAGCTCACTTGTGGTGTGACCCTGATGGACAACTTACTTCCATCCTCTAGGATTGTAATTCATCTGTAAATTAAGGAGAAAGCCTCGCGACCCCAGAATGGACCCTGCTTCTGGACTGCCACACACCCCACCCCTGCACTGCCATATTGCTCTTGCCAGCAACTTTTCACTGTTGCCTGGGGCTCCTCTGCCCCTAACCCTCTAGGTGACGCTCCTGAGCTCAGGAGGGAGCAGAGGACAGGGTGAGGCTACCTAAGCCTTACTTGGCAGTTTCCAAAAGTTTGACGGCCTCTTCATTTCTCCCTTGTTCCATAAACAGCAGGGCCAGCTCCAGCAGGGCATTTGGGATCAAGTAATGGTCATATTTAATCTTCTTTTCACTGTGGAACACAGGAGGACATGGCTTATAGGCGCTGTCCATGAGATATCCTTCAGGCTCCTCTTCCTGACCCCTTTCCAGAATAGGAGGATCCAGGTACTCATGTGAGGGTCCCTGATCTGCATGCCAGCTTGGGAAGGTCCCCACTGCCTAGCCTAAAAAGGCTGGGATCCATGGCAGAAACTGCCAACCATCTGTATGTGGCGCCCTAACTCCCTAACAGCTGTGGCTCAAGTCACGTCCTTAGTCTACCCCTACCTTTGCCCTCCAACCCCCTTTTCTCCAGGTTGAAAAGTTAATTAAATCAGGAAGTCTGTCTCTGATTACACCTCCACAGTGCCTGGAGATATCCTTTTTTTATTTTTTTTAATTGTGATTTGGGTGAAGATTTACAGAGCAAATTCACTCTCGATACAGCAGTTCACATATACTTTGTCTCATGTCAT